GGAAGCAGTGTGCCCTCTCCAGGGGCCCAGATGGGTGGGGAGAGCTTGGACTCAGCCCCCTGGCCAGAAAACTCATGAGTGCAGGGGCCTTCTGCCTGGGTTATGGGTATATCCCCCCCAGCAGCCCAGGGCCAGGGCTCAGATCACAGGCAGAGGACTGAGTAAGCCGGATCTGTCACTACGCTCTGCAGAGGGAAAGGAAGAACAGCCTAGGAAAGAGCGTCTTGTAAAATCAGAGCAGGACCCAGGATTTCCTCTGAGTGCTCCTGCCCAAGTGTTAACCTGAATCAGTACTTGAGGAAACAGAGGAACGTTCCCCAAAATGACTGGCTCAGAGTCCCCAAAATGTCAGTATCAGGCCATCTAAAGGCCTTCTGGGCCAGAAGGACATCGTTTATTTGCTTATTCACTAAAAAGGCTTACAGGACAATTGTGACATCTGAATAAAGTCTGTAGATTAAGTAATAGAATGTAAGAGTGTTAATTTCCTGATTTTGATATTTGTATGGTGGATTACATAAAAGACTGGTCTTGTCTTTAGGAAACACACGAAGTACTGGGGAAAGGGGACATCAGGTCTGCAACGTGCTCTCAAATGGTTCAGAAAATAAAATACACAGAGGGACAGACAGATGACACAGAGACAGAACACAAAACAAACAGGATAAAGGGTTAACAATCGGGGGATCTGGGTGAAGGGGTTCTTGTATTATTTTTGTAGAGCTGAGATCATTTCAAAATAAAAAGCTACAAAAATTAAAAGAAATCAAAGTCAGTATCCTGAAAAAAAGAGGCTGCGAAACAGTTCCTGACTCGAGGAGACTTAAAACAGACCCGGGCAGTCGCTGCCATGCGCCCCGGATCCGCGAAGACCCAGCTGCAGGGACACCCGCGGTTCCCGTGCAACCGAGACTGGGGAGCAGCGCGGGTGGTCTCCGGGGTGTGAAGTCCCACGTGCAGGCAGGAGGACGCCCTTGCTCTTGGGAGATGCACGCTGATGTCGCGACCGCAGCAACTCCTCGCTCTCCCTGGCTCAGCAGCAACACCCTTGCAGGAAATCGAGAGCGCGCGAGGAAGCGCGTGGGACCTAAATGGGCGCGCAGGGGTCCGCGCCCCTCCCCGCCCCCGCCCCCGCGCGCCC